CACTGCAGAGACCCTTTAAAGAAACAGTTAATCCACAGATTAGGCTGCATATTTTGAGGACTTTTTCAAATTTTTATCATGCACACACACTCAACTGATGTTTGTAACAGTGGCAGGCACATTGTGTGTCAAACGATAGAAACCTCAACATGAGAAATACATGACAACCTCTGGTGAGGTTAAAAAGGCCTGGAATTCAGCTGTGATCAAACACATTCCTCTTCCTTCTGTGCATTCATGAGACAAGAGTGCAAACTTACTTGTGGAATTTTATTGTTTTCCACAAGTGGATTTTGTGGAGGCATCTCAGTGAGGCTGTTTCTGTGTCTGTCATCATCTGTACTCTTTTATGATAAGACTTAAAACGGAAAGACGAGAATTGTTTTTTGTTTTTGTTTTTTTGCCATGGAGTTAGATTCTATTATATATACTCCCATCTCTAGTCCCAGCGGTTACTCCCAAGATGTCCCTTTGGTTAAGTCTAAGGTAGGATACTTTAGGATCTAATTGATCACATTAAAGGAAAAGAAAAGCTGACATGAAAATGGCCAGGGAAAGGGCATAATTGAGTCACTTTGTGCTGCATTTAGAGGAGTTTGCTTCATATCCATTCCTGAAGGTTCTAATTTGGGAGCAGCATTAGTTGAGCATTTCTAAAATAATAGTACGATATATTATGAGCTCACTTTTTAAAAATGTCATTGAAGTATCATTGATATACATAAACCACACATGTTTAAAGCATGCAATTTAATAAGTTTTGACATAGGTATATACCTGTGGAAATATTGCCAGTTTCAAGATGGTAAAGATAGAAGATTTATTTTGAAAAATAAATTTTACTATGGCAAAATTTAAACTTAGAAGTTGAAAAAATTAGACAGTGAACTCATGTACACCCATCTACTTTCCACAGTGAATATTTTACTCTTCTTACTTTACTATGCATCTTGCCATCCGTCAATCGCTCTATCCAGTCATTCAACCATCTTGAATTTTAGCTGAAGCATTTCAATGTAAGTTGCAGGGATTGATACCACTAAACATTTCCTCATGCTGGCCATTAGCTAAATTATTTATTACTATTTATAGCTTTATTTAAGAGGGTTTTTTTTTGAGACAGATATAGTATGATGTACAAAATCTATGCGTGAATTTTGATGAATTATGGTATGTGTATACAATATGTCACTTAAACAATTCTCAAAATCTGAAGTGTTTCTATAAACTCAGGAGATTCCTGTAGGCCCATCCCAGGCAACTACTCTTCCATTTTCTCAAAATAACCATTATTCTGATATATGTATATCAGAATATATATATATATATATATATATATATATATATATATATATATATTTTAACCACAGGTTTGTCTCATCAATTTTACAATTTTGTATTTGTACAAGTACACAGTGAGAACACATTGACACATTGTGCTAGGCTTTTCCCCCTCAGCATAATGGTTTGGGGATTCATCTTGTTGTTGTGACTCAATAATGTATTCCCTTTTTATTGCTCAGTAATATTCCACAGCATGAATGTAGCACTGAGTGCTATTTTAAGGGGATAGAATATGTCTCATCAAAGAAATGCCAGGTAAGAGTTTCCAGGATGATGAGATGATGACAGGTTGGGAGGAATGAGATATTTTACCACAAAAAGTAGTGCATGTAGGAAAGGATATGAGAACTACCTTCAGCTACTTCAAGCTGGTGTTAATAAACATTTTTGGTAATGGGCCAGGGAGTAAATGTTTTAGGTTTTGCTATGCTACATCATCTTTGTTGCAATTATTTAATTCTGACCTTGAAATAGAGTGAAAGCAGCCATAGATAATATGTAAATGAAGTATGACTGTGTTCCAATAAAACTTCATTTATGGACACTGAGATTTGAATTTCATAGGATTCTCATGTGTCACAAAATATTCTCTTCTTTTGATTTTTCTTTCTCCTAACCATTTGAAAATTTGATATCCATTCTTAGCTCACTGCCCATACAAAAACAGATGGTGGGCCAGATTTGGCCCATAAGCCATAGCTTGCCAATCTCTGATATAAAGGAGTAGCAAACTGAAGAAGGAATATTTATTATTCTCTTTAAAGATAGTGGGCAACATGAAGACTCAAGGAGAAAGCTTTTGCTCAGAAAACTGAAGATATTTCTATTAATTAGGATAGTGTTCAAATGAACTCTAATTCCTTACCTTGTATCATTACTGGTAGCACAAGGTAAAAGGGGCAGGTTGCAGGGCCGATCTGGATAGTTCAATTCTCTAACATCTCTCTGTCTAGTATGATATTGTATATGCAATTTAACTCCTTTGTGTTTCTATTGATTCATCTTTAAAATAAGAGTAATAATTGAACCTACTTCCTACAGGCATTTTCAAGATTTAATAAGTTAGTGTATATAAAGTCTTATAAGCAGAGCTGATTCACAACCCATACTTAGTATGGTGTCTGACACATGGTAAGTGTGAAAGACATGTTTATCATTATCCTCATCATTCGTGTTCTCGATCTTATCACTGTGAGGCTGGACAGAGATGTGTGTTAGCTTTTGTCACTGTGGCAAAAATACCTTAGACATCAACTTTTTAGGAGGAAATATTTATTTTGGCTCGTGGTTTCAGAAGATTTCATCCATGATCCACGCGGTCCCGTTTCTTTAGTTTTGTGGTAGCATAGTCCATCATGGTGGGGAGCCCATGGTGGAGACAAATGAAGAGAGAGCTGAGCTTTCAAAATCCCCTTCAAAGGCACCTCACTAATGACTTGAAGACTTCCCAACTAGGCCTGATCTCTTAAAGGTTCCACCACCTCCCGATAATACCACAGGCTGATGACAGATCCTTTAACTTAGAGAAGGACACTTAAGATCCAAACTTTAGCAGCATGTGTGAGAATTTGGTTGAAAGAATTCCTCTTCTTATGAACTGGACTAATAGCTTTACTTAGATGCTTTATTATTCCAATAATCAGCATTATTTCTAAGTTAGTTTCCAATGCTTCAAACTGATGACTCACTGTTGATGAAATCTCAGAAGAAATGCACCATATTTCTACTCATTGATATCAGCATAGCCTACATCATAAGGCAAAGTATTCTGTTTCCACTTGATCTCTCTTGATCTCAGATCTTAGACTGACCTCTAGGGTATCTTGTTAACTATTAAGCCTTATGTAGATGCTGCTAATTGTAATGCTGCTTCTTTCCTCCATTGGAGAAAGTGAGGGGAGAAGGGACTTTGATTTTGAAAGGGAAATGTGTCAGATTAAAAGCATTGAGCTGGACAAGGTTGTTCCCACAGGCTGCATTCACCTATTAGGTGATGCTGAATAACTGGATGGCTTTGGGAGCATTAGGTAATTGCATCCCAGTGTCATGTGATGATATGTGGATGGTGCTCTGAACCCATGGTGATTGCTATTGTGCATCAGAAAGAGAGGAATTAAGGTAGAATTGACTTGGGAAGATCTCTGTTCATGCCTCCTCATCTCCTGGTTATAACACATACTACATTGTATGTTTGCTCGGTCTCTGGCATTTGTTTACCCAAGCCTGTTCTTCTTTACTGGTGCTTTTAATTATGTCATCTTTTTCTCCATTAGGTGGCTAGAATGACAGCCATGGTATCTAGGCATGATAAGCACAATATGAAGTCACAAAATAGCACTAGACCTGTGGAACAATTTATGGGGATATTTTCATTTTCCACACGAGAAGCCAAGGCACAGATATGATGGAACCTCATGCCTCTAGTCCAGTGCTCTTTTTATTACACCACATTAGTCTTTGTCTATAAACAGGACTTGATGTGAGGGTGTGTTGCAGAGGATGACAGGAAGGACAGATGGACCCGAGCCCTGCCTTCATGACTAAAAGGTAGAGTTTTGACATTATTTCCAAATAGAAATACATAACTGGAATAATATTCTCTATTCTATTGCCTATTTCCTGATATCATTAATAAATATTAGGTATTAAATGTGAGTCCATTTTTAAACTGTGCTTGGGGATGTCTTTATGTTTTAATATTGCAATCTCAAAATGTGGCATTGGGAAAGGGGAACACACTGGAGAATAAATACTGGCCCAATTATATTATTATAGTGCATGTAGGTCTGAATGTATAACAATGAATCCTGCTGTTATGTATAATTATAGTATACCAATAAAAATATGGAAAGAAAAAAAATGTGGCTTTGGACTCAGCTTTTCTATAATTCCAAAATGCCCTATTGATAAGAATGCAAAACCACAGTATTTAAGTGGACAAATTTAATACCTAGGTATTCATGTGAACAGATAATTCTAAGAAGTGCCTGTAGGGGAACAGAGCAATATCTATATAAACTTTGACTAACATTAAATTGGAAGTTTAAAAAAAAACATGTCAACATGGAAGCAAAGAAAGAATAAGAGAAAGGTAGAGATGTTAGCTAGGGGGAAAGGAAGGAGGTGATACAACTCAGCAATTCCAGGAAGTTAAGGTGAAGAGGAAAGTTCACAGCTGTTTGGTGAAGGTGAGGCTCTTTGCCTTTTGACAATAGAAATGAGAGTGTTCCTGTTCCCCCATCACTTAAGGAAGACTTTTTAAATGTCTTATGTGTTTTAAACAAGACATGAATTGATTCTTATCATTTTTCAGTTTGACTTTGTAAAATTATCCTATTAGCCATGTCATGGAAATTATTAATTTGTGAAGTAAAGGTGATTGCTTCCTAATTGACTTTCAGAACTCTTTGGATTTCCTAAATATAGCTTTGAATGCAAATATGTGCTCTACATATTTAAAAAATGCTTTTTGAGACCATAATATAAAATAACACACTGACAAGAGCTAAATCCATGATTGACCCAAATTCTTTAAAAAATATTCCATCTATAAAATTGGAAAACTGTTTCACCTCTTTGTATAATGACTACTCTAATGCCTTACTCATTCATTTAAAGAAAAAAAAATCCTTGAATGAATCTGCTGCAAAAACAAGTTGAAGGTTTAAAACTTTTTTATTGCAGAGAAGTCTCCAAGATCACACATGTCCATTAGAAGTATTCAGTGTGGGGTCACAGAAGGGTCTACACGAGACAGCCACTTAGATGTCTGTTTTTCCTTTCAAAGTCCTTTTCCTTCACCCTCTTCAAAACACCCTTAAGTAGACATAAATATTATGAGGTTAAAAAAAAAGGAAAGGGGGGAAAAACTAAGAACAATGAGAGCTTTCTTTTATTACCCAATAGTCATATGCATCTTAAATACCCATCATTATCAAGAGAAAAATGAAGCCAAATGTCTGATAAGAAGATGGGTCACAAGGTAGAATAATATTCCATTTTGTCAAGACTTAGGCAGGAAAAGGGAGTGAAATAGCTGGTTTCCCACTGTGGAAGAAAGACGGCTTCAAAGTTGCAGCCAGGGTATTTGTTTAGAGTGGGGAGGATCAAGACTTTCTGGTATTTACAGCGAAACAACAACAACCACCCCGTCTATCTTTTAGGAAAGGAATGCATAGTTAAATTGGCTCGGCCCGTCCTTAGCAACCTGAACTCAGAGGCCACATTTTTTCCTCTCTAAGAAGCAAGTGGGAACTTGAAAAGTATGTAGCATGTCGTGAAAAGGGAGCAGTGAACTTTGCCCAGGTCTGCAGCCAACTCTGAAATCTGAACCTTCAGAAGTTCCAGGACTGGTGCTTTCCCTCCCCCTCCTTCCTTTTTAATCCTGTGCATCTAGTGGTTTAGCAAACTCCCTGTGCCTGCAATCAGAGGAGTCTGTCTCACTGCTTAGAGAAAACCTGTTCTCTGATGTCATTAAAAGGAAGTACCAAACACACACACACACACACACATTAAACCCAACTTTATTATTATTATATTCAGTCTCACTTCATACGACTGAGGGACATGTAGAAAGATTTTTTTTTTTCTTTTTTGCATTGGTTTTAAAGTTAACTTTCAAAGTTTTGAGGTACAGCTATTAGCATTGGAAAGATTTCCCTTACCTTTTTGGGGAGGGAGGAGAAATTACTAAAAGTCCAGGGCTGAGGCTGCTTTCAGCATGAATCTTTCCACAGTAGCAAGTTACTTGGTAACTTGAGCTGTGCTCGGTCCTGAGATTCTTCCGCATAATTGAAGATTAATTTGATTCCCCAGATTGTTGAGGGTGGCTGACAGTGGGGGGCTGGGTGGGTGGAAATAGATTATTCAAATCACAAAGAAGTAGGTGTGCCCTAAGTGACTGCTCCATTACTGCTCATAAATGTTTTCCTTCCCAAGTATTCATCAAACTCGGTGCTGCCTGATCCTGGGGCGGGAGGAGACTGCCCTGCCAACAGTCAGATAGCAGGTGAACCTTAGAGAAACTTAAATATTTTGTAAAGAGAGTTATATGTGGTAATGGCTACTCCAGAGTCCATTAACGCCGAAACAAGCTAACTCAAGGGCTTTGGCTTTCTCAAGTGTCTAATGTAAACAATATGAAAGTCAATAGTGGGGGACATTCCAAGATAGTATTAACACGATTGATTTATTGATGGTTACACAATGGGAGGTTATCTTTTGTTAATTGACTCAGTAAATAAGCTCACAGGCGTCAGTGCTGGTGGGGAGGCAATCAGTGAAGGGAAAGGTGAGTTACCTGAATTATAATTATTATTTTTTTTTCAATTTAAGCCCATCTTGGTAAATTCCAGGCCGCTTTCTCTGCCAAGCTCAAACACAGTTTAGGAATGTTAATTCTGCCCAGAACTTGGCATTTGTCCTCCAAAAAGGGAAGGCTCAAAAGTTCTGTATTTCTGTCAAACACTATATATATGTGTGTGTTTTTTAAAACTTTTGCTACCAGAAGATAGAGAGAGGCGGGGTAGGGGGAGAATAATTTACAAATATAGAAATAGTGGGGAAGATGCATGCTCAGCCTGGGTGACCCTGAGTAGTGACTGAACCTCGTGGAAAAGGCACTGTTGGCTGTGGACAGCACTTCAGGTTTCATGTAAGTGTTAGGGTTATGGTTAGTGTTAAATTTAGGGTAAAGGTTAGGGTTAGTGTTAGGGTTAGGTTTAGGGTTAGGGTTAGTATTAGGGTTACGTTTAGGGTTCCTGTTATAGGCTACTATAACTTGATAGCTCTTAGTGGGAGAACAGAGGGAGAGAAAAATAAAACAACTTTATAAATTCTGGACGATTTTGAGCATGACATCATTACAAACTTCTCTAGATGGATTGCTTTCTGGACTTTTCCACTTTCATCAGGGATAGCTTAAAAATTAAAAATTTCTCGCTGTTCATCCCGTTGTGTCTTCCAGAATATTTGAGAAACATCAACTTCTCTTTTCAAGCTGGCCTCCCCTGACCCCTGACAGCTCTTCTTGTTTGACCTCAGTGTTTTGCGTGCTCTGATCATCCCTTTTCTCTTTCCTCTGTCAACTCTCCCAGACCTTTTCCAGCTACTGGCGGTGTTCACTGCAGGACAGTGCAGAGTGTGTATCACACCTGCGCCAACTCCAGTTCCCTCTCCACCTGTGAACTTGCAGTTGGCCACCCCTTAGCCTTCTCTCTACCTGATTTTTCTCTGAGCATAAACCTGTCCCTTCACACCCCATTCCGCCCTCGTTTATAGCCCCAACATGGGAGTCCACCTGACTTCTTCACTTCCTTTTTGGTACATCCTGTAAGTTCCCAAGCCCTACAGATTCTGCTTCGTTTATTTATAGTTCAGAGGCTCTGTGTTGTGTCTCCCAACTAAAATAAACTGGCCCCGCGGATTGGCACACTGTAAGGACGCAGGCAACATGGGTTGAATGAAGTCATGACCTCACCTTTAATCAGGTTTCTGATCCAAAAATAATCCTACCTATCTTCATTCACTCCTGTGTTCTTCTTCGTGACACTCATTTCTGGTCACATCATTTCATGGCTCAGAAGCTTTCAATAACCATGATATTTCTGAATCTAGTGTAATGGCTCTTTTTTTTTTTTCCAATACCACCATAATTTATGTTTCTTGGACTCTCTTCCTTCAAACTCCTAAATATCCTATGCTCCATACGAAGTACAGGCAATCGCTGACTGAGGATGGTTTGACTTATGATTTTTTTTTTTTCAACTCCATGATGATATCAAAGGGATATTTTGGTAGAAAGTACTTGGAGTTTTAAAGTTTGCTCTTCCCAGACTAGCAGTGTGTGGTGCATGCTCTCTCATGGTGCCTAACAGTAGCAAGTCACACCTCTGTCAGCCACATGATCAGGAGGGGAAAGAAACCTCTTTGTTGTGTTGCCAATATATTTTTTTTGATACTTGTATTTAATAAGTTACATGAGACATCAACACTTTATTATTAAATAGGCTTTGTGTTAGATGATTCTGCTTAACTGTAGGCAAAAGCAATTTCCGAGCATGTTTAAGGTAGACGAAGCTAAGTGTTGGTGTTAGTAGGTTAGGGGTATTAAATGTGTTTTTAATATTTTTGATTTACCTTGGGCTTATTGGGATATAAACCCATCTTAAATCCAGGAGCACTTCCAAATTCTTTATATCTCTCTGCTTCCATATCTTAGCTTATCTTCATTTCTTCAACCAGAAGTCTTACTCAACTATTTTTTTTTAATATTTATTTTTTAGTTATAGGTGGACACAATGTCTTTATTTTATGTAGTGCTGGAGATCAAACCCAGTGCCTCACACATGCTAGGCGAGCATGCTAACTCTGTGCCCACAACCCCAGCCCTCAACTGTCTTTTAAAGTTGGATTTTTACTGGCTTTTTAAGGTTCATCTCAAATCATACTCTATCTATGGAACTATTTTTTGTTCCATAGTTCTTTCTCAGCTAAGTTGGATGTTTTCTTCTTCATGGGACATTTATTATATTCAGTCTGTTCTATAGCTGTTTCTATAGTTGGTTTATTCTTTCCTGGAAGGAAGTGAATACTAGGGAGACATGAGCTAAATTTTCTTTTTATTTCTGCTTGGACCCTTAATGCCCCCACATAATACGCATACCAAAAGCTATGGTTGAGTTACCTCCATTTTTGTTTCTTTGTCATCATTACAAGATTTTTAGTTTCTCTGTTATTTTTTTTTAAATATTTTGTTTAGTTGTAAATGGACACAATATCTTTATTTCGTTTATTTATTTGTATGTGGTGCTGAGGATGGCATCCAGTGTCTCATATGTGTGAGGCAAGCGCTCTACCTCTGAGCCCCAGCCCCAACCCATATTTTCTCTGTTATTGCATATTGGTGTTCAGCAGTGTGTGTGTGTGTGTGTGTGTGTGTGTGTGTGTAAGCGCGAACGCCTTTCCCCATTGACTAACCCACTTAGCTCCTTTGATCTTGAAGTATACATTTATTAACCTTTATCTTAAAGTATTCTCCGGGATGAACCAAGGAATGGGAGGAAAGCTACTTCAGTTTGGATCCACTTTGAATTTACCCGGCTTCATGTTCTCCCTCTGCCCCTTTTAATGTCTAGGAATTAGTTATACTAAAGTTCCACTGCACACGGAGTTGTTTTTGCAACTCGAGATGCAAACTCCAACACTATGGAAAACCTTTTAAAAGTATGTGATCATTCAAGGAACAAGGGTACTCCTATTTCCTCTTCTCAATAACAATTAAGACATTAGGTTACTAGAATCTTTAAGTTTTTGAATGATGCTTGAAGAATAGTTTGTGTTTGCTTAAACACAAAAGAATACTGTCTGAACCGAACCCTAAAAGTCACCCAAGAAGAGAGAGAAAGCTTATGAATCCATGTTTGTGCGGGTAGATTTTTGGAGAATAGCAGTGTGTTCTGGCTTTGGAGCTATTGGTATGGTAGTACTCTGTGATTTACTCTGGAGAGTCATTTCCTGGTCAAGGAATCCCCTGTCTTCAAGGGGCAGGTCATTAGGAGAGGAAAGGAAATTGGGGTGGAACATTGGAGAATGGCTTCTCAGTTCACATTCTAGCATTCACTTAATGAGTGTAATGTTCTTGCTAATGGGATTTAACCACAATACCTATGCCTAACCTTGTCACCAAAAAGGTAGTCTACATGCCCCTTTTTTTCAATACAGTCTGCCTGGTGACTGTGTAGATGTCTGTTCTCCCAATTTTCGAAGTGGTAATCCTAGAATTATCTTGGCTCGGAAATAAATGAAGAACTCATGTACAGGACTCAAATTTCCCTACCAGGGTTGTAACTGAAACAAGGATTAAGTGCCAGTGTACAAAACCTCTCAAGCAATGGACAACATGTCAATTGCTGGACATTCTATCATAGAAGGCCCTCAGTTCTTCTCTTTTATAAAGCTAGAGATCAAGTTTTGGTGGGAAGTAAAATGAAAGGCAATTTAGCTCCTTAAAAGGGTTGCTAGTTGGGAAGGAGAGAGCTATATTTAGCTTCATGCTTGTCTCTCCAGGAAGCTAGAACAACTAGGCAATTAAATGGTGAATGGTATGTGTGTAGAGAGGTGTGCAGAGGAGGCTGGGTGGGGAGGAGATAATCAGGCCTTAGAAAAGAGTCTGTTCAGGACAAAAAATTTTTAAACAGTTGCATAGCACCACGGAGATAAAACTGCCTATCGACTGACTGACTACCTGTTGCATGTATTTATTTTGATGTGTCACAGAATCCCAATGACTTTAAGTTAGCTAATCACACCCCAGGCTCCTTATTTAGAAATGGTAGTAATAAACTAGTGTGATTAATCGAGTATCTACTATATACCGGCTACATGTTTCACTTCCATTATGTCATTTAATTTTGACAACTGTGCTCTGAGCAGACAACAAGAGGATTTTGCCTAAGATTACCTGCTATTTGGCTGAAGTAGATTTGAATCTAGTTCTCTTTCTGACTTCTTTTAGTTACTTTTATATTTTTACTTCTCTTATTATTCCCGACTGCTCTGAAATTGCATGAGTTTACATTCATGCACTGTGACCTTTTGAAGAAAGGCATGAAATACACACACACACACACACATACACACACACTCATGATATATTTATACATAAACATATGTGAGTACACATCAATCTACATTTAAATCTACTTTTTAAGTGGAATAGTATCACTGAAATGGAAATAATAAAGCTGGGTGCACTGGTGCACACTTATAATGCTAGCTGTTTGGCAGGAGGATTACAAGTTCAAGGCCTGCCTTGGCAATTTAGGAGACATTATCTCAAAAATTAAAAACAATAAATAGAATTTTAAAAAGAGCTGGTATTGTAGCTCAGTGGTGGAGTCCCCCTGGGTTCAACCTTTACTACTGCAAGGAAAAAAAAAGAGAGAGAGAAAGAAGA